GAAGCAACTGTACTAAAAGGAACATTCAAGTGGCTAGCAATCTTCCTATAACTTTCTCCTTCCTTCCAACGCGATAGAATTAGTTGTTTTTGGGAACTTGTTAGTTCTTTACCTTTAGCCATTTTTGAGACCTTCTTGTACTACGGGCAGTTGCAGAATGATCTGGTAGTTGCAAAATACGTTAACTATGGTTACTGATTACATTACTGGAACGTGCTACATGTTTCTAGTACATTCTGGAATGTTCTGGTTTGAAATATTAGTCAAAAGTTGTTTTGTACGAATACTTTTTTGACCCGAAGAAGTTAACATGTTGCATTAATTTTTGTTGCATTGAGATTTAATTTCTATTGATGCTATTTTTGAATACAATGCGCCTCTATACATAAAATAAATCACTTCTCCTGTTCAGTTTGTGTACTTACATACATTAAAATACGATTTTTCAAGTGTACGAATATTTATTTCCCCCCACTGTATTTTTTATGGCTTCCATTCTTTTATTTAAAAATACGATACAGGCGGCGCTTACCTACGCAGTTGCCGTTATTAAATTATCCAAAGCCTGATTTACCTGCCTACACGTCCAATGTAATTAATCAATAGTACAAGATATCCAATTAATTATCTTCATCATTACCAGCATTGCTACTCCATGGCCTATTCACAATTTTATAGTTTGTTAAATCAGATTCCACGATGACTTTTACACATTCAATGTAGGAAGAGCAGCATAGTTGATTCCATTGAACCCCAGTTCAATTTACAAATTTTACTCTAAATTCCCATCAGAGCTTGACCCAATGTCCGATTTACTTGCTTACGAGCATAGTGTTTCTCAGTCAACCAAGAGCAGCAAATAAAACTAACCAAATTTAAGACATAATTCACTAATTCAGATTAAATTGAAATAATTGACTGCAAAATTTTTCCAAGTCGTTTCTTAAAAATACGAAATATATAATTGATTTAGATTTACGCTATACTTTCATTTTCGTTGCTGAGAACCTTTATTGATCGGCACAAAGTTTAATAATTCTCATTTTACAGTCCTTGTAACTCAGCAAAAAATCAAATAGCGGGCATTGTAATCAGCATGAGTGTTGTTCACTCCGATAATGCTTAACTTGAATAGAATTTGTAAATTAGAAAGCATTCTAATAGTTTGTATTAGTATTGCATGATAATTTTGTGAAAAATTGAAGGTACTATATATCTGCTTCCGGTGAGGAAATATGTCAGCAGAATTATTATTCTTCTCATAGACAATATCATGATGAATACATTAATTTTTCCTCAGTGGATCTATCTCATTTCGATCAGGAACATGAGCTTCGTAACCTCTTTACAATTGTGCCGGTGCGCCTGTAAATCAGACTCTTGGTAAAGTGATTACGGTAACTACTCTGGGCCTACTGTTTCTATTATTTATACACTTCGGTGAGAATCTTTACCAGTTTAAATACTTTTGAATATTACTTTCGTGTCATGGATACTGAAACATACTAATGTCAGACAAATATTAACTGCAGCAATTCCTTAACTAAATCTTAAGTTTAGTTAAATGCTAAATGTTAAATAAATTCAATATGAATAATGTAAATAATACGAAATTTACGGAAAGTTTTTGGAGGCGCTCGTGAAGCAATACGAAAATAATTTAGCTTGAGGTTGTTATATGAATGTGAAAAAAATTAAACAAGAGCTGTGAATAGAATTAAGTCTCTCAACTTTAAAATAAAATTTAGATTTTTTGGCATAATTAGAAAATTTGGATAAGCCATACGTTTTATGTGACAGTCACANGCCATTATCACGTGGGCAGGTTTGAGACGAGGCTGGGTGTGGACATCCCGCGGGTTTACTTACCTTCGTAGCCATTATCACGTGGGCAGGTTTGAGACGAGGCTGGGTGTGGACATCCCGCGGGTTTACTTAACTTCGTAGCCATTATCACGTGGGCAGGTTTGAGACGAGGCTGGGTGTGGACATCCCGCGGGTTTACCTAATTTCGTTCCCGCGCTCGGGCAACACCTGGACGCGGTACCTGGTGGAGGGCGCCACGGGCATCTTCACGGGCTCCGTCTACGAGGACAAAGAGCTCTACCGCATCGGTGAGCTCTTTTATTCCTAGTTTTTGACCCATTATTCAATACAATGTGGAGCGTTTAAAAATATATACACTATATTTTAAATAACTGTCAATTTTAGGACAAAAACACGGACTTTGAATGGTATAGTTCTTTGCATATTTGACATCAGTGGTTGAAATTCGATTTCCAGAGTAACCTTGTATATACGTTTCTCTTAACTTATTTTTAAAAACAATCATTCAATCAAATTTTTCATATTCAAACAACACTAGAGAAATGAATCAGGAGAACGCAGCTTTAGCGATTGAAGCCCTCACGATAAGTCACCAGAAATAGAAGTGCAAATGAATAGAAATATCGTTTAAATTACCTATACTCTTGCTAGAAGAGCATTAGCTCGATCTTATATAAAATATAAACGTTGTAGTATTCTCTTCAATTTCAATTGAAAAAATAGATAATTGTCCATTATATTGATTTTCGTTGACAGTTAAAGCATATATTCAACTTTTCAATAAGTAATATGCTCTCGATATATTTTTGTCATATGTAATAATGTAATAATTATAACTTCTCTAAACTCTTCAAGACAATTTTCTCTCTTTTTAGCGCATTTTCTCATTTATGGATAAAATGCACTATTGTGCTCGCCATGTCTATCTGTCCGTCCGTCCGTCTGTCTGTCCGTTTGTCCGTCCGTGACTTAAAGTTTTCGTCGACGAGAAAATGCGCTCTCTGTCACTCACTGCAGTGAGTACTGAGTTATATTTTTTTATCATATACATGCCGATGCCACGACAGGCTACCTGGGCGAGAAGGAGAAGGTCGCCTCAAACACGACGCTGTTGATCAAAGACCATCTCTTGGGGAACAAGCCACCTCCACGGGACGGTCCCATAATATTCATTGTGCGCGATCCAAGAAAGTGAGTAGAAACTGAAATTATTACCCCATGCATATTAATCATGTTTTGGAACCTAAATCAAACAGTTCATCTGTTCTTCAAGGAAAAGAGAATTTCGTGTAACATCAGCATAGCAAATTGATAACTATCGACGAAAAGTATAAGTTTGGAGCAACTAAAACCATATAAATCATCCGTAATTCATGGTAAGGATATATCAATTTAATTAAATTGAATTTTTAGATGAATCTTTCTATATTACGGTTGGTTCAATACTGCTTCGAACCAACCTTGAAATGGAACGGTAAAAAACTTTTGCTCACAAATCCTTTGTAAACAAGCATCGGAGGCTTCTAATGAACTTATTTTTCTAGTATGTGTTATAAATTCTCATAAATGTGTTGAACTGGTCTCTTATACACATCTAGATGTGTATAAGAGACAGNGCGATCCAAGAAAGTGAGTAGAAACTGAAATTATTACCCCATGCATATTAATCATGTTTTGGAACCTAAATCAAACAGTTCATCTGTTCTTCAAGGAAAAGAGAATTTCGTGTAACATCAGCATAGCAAATTGATAACTATCGACGAAAAGTATAAGTTTGGAGCAACTAAAACCATATAAATCATCCGTAATTCATGGTAAGGATATATCAATTTAATTAAATTGAATTTTTAGATGAATCTTTCTATATTACGGTTGGTTCAATACTGCTTCGAACCAACCTTGAAATGGAACGGTAAAAAACTTTTGCTCACAAATCCTTTGTAAACAAGCATCGGAGGCTTCTAATGAACTTATTTTTCTAGTATGTGTTATAAATTCTCATATATGTGTTGAACTGGGCAGAGCTATTGCCTCATACCTGGTGTTCAGGCAGGCTGTCAAACTCGACCCCGAGAACAAGCAATTGTACCGAGGCTCAGAACAAACACTACGCGGTACAGGTGACTTATTCATAATTATTAATATTTACTTATATAATTTATGATATCTATGATTAATTATTTAAAATTATGATTGTATATTTTTCGGTTCAGCTATGTTAGGAACTTATTAAGATCACAGTGATGGGTTTTAACAGAAATAATTTTTCTCGATTACAAAATTACGTTTGAGATAATGCGGTATGACTATTTTATTCGTTTCTTAAAAACATTTAGCGTAACATATTAATTTTTCATATAGATAAGTGCTACAAATAAAATATATTCACATCTGACAAGAAATTCAAATTCTTGAATCAATTTCCTTGCCCCTTCCTAAAATTTTGTTTGCTATATCAAGTCGTTACTCGTGCGTATTTGAGATTCGACGTTCATTAACATTAACCCTTATATAACAGAGCTCCTATTCAAGCATCGTCTTTATATTTGCACAAGTTTTTTTCGCTTGTTTTAGTAAGTTTTTAATCCAGCCTATCGTCTGCAAAGCCTCAGTCAAGATTTCAGCGGTACCAAAAAATTTCTTGTCCAGCTAATATCCCATATTATGGGAACGCACTCGAGTAGCCAGCCCTCTATAAACACGGCGTTTGTCGTCGTGGAACCCGCAAACAAACCAGAAAACTTCTCAAAAATCAATAAATGGCGTCATGCTTCTCAAATTTTGCCAGAATTTACTCAAATACATCTTTCTGAAACGACGGTACCTTTAAAGAACATCGATAGCTTTTACCTCTGGTGCGCAGCCGTTGAATCTATGGAGTTATATCATGTCATAACATAACATAACATAGTGATCTCGGCGCTGCAGTGTAGGCCTGATGAGGCCTGTCGCCGATTCTTTTCCTTTTCGTGCCTTGTTCACAGAAGATCTAAACTCGTGCCATTTGACCGGATCTTTTCACGACTGACGATAGTTTGAAATAGCTACTAGACTTCCACCAGGTTCGATATGGTGCTCAGGTAGACACTTCAAGTCTGAACATATATTTCTCCATAGCTTTATCTACATAGTCTCATTAGTCTGTTCTTGAACGTGTTATCTCCGCGTACGTTGAAAGGTGATCTTCATTTACAAGCTACCGCATTTTTTCACTAATATTATGGAAGAACACTTCTCATCTTTGTTGCTCAGTAACACTTAGTGAACAAAATTTTAATTATGACATAACAAATACAAAAATATTTGTTTCCTTGAACAGATTTTAAGAGACGGACGATAAACCTCATTTTTCACTGGGAACAGGTGAGTACGCATGCAATATTTATAAATATTAATTTTATATTCCAACATCTGGTGATGATAATAGACGCTGTGTAAAACACATCTTAACATCTAGTGATGACAACAGGAGCTGTGTGACACGCATCCCAACATTTCTGTGATGACAATAGCTTTTGCTAAACTGATAGTACAGTAGTAGACATTTCGCTTATTGAAAGGTCGAGATTTTCTCTAGATAATATCTGTCCTAACTGTGATAATCCATGTCTTTTACTCATCACGTTGTCAGTTCATAGGCTATATTTCTAATATGGGCTTACATGTGCCCTGATTCCACGTACAATGTTCCAAAGACAAAACGTCAATATATTATCGATATTCCACAACGTAAACATTATTCCTGAACGTCGTTCCTTCAAACCTGAAGACAAATTATTCATGAGTTTACTCTTGAATTATTAAATTATTCAAGAGAGAGAGAGCCATTTCCACACACACAGTTCTGACCATTCGCTACGAAGACATCAGAGTAGTGAGGGATTAATGTTACATTAGCAGGAACCATTTCTATCAACATTTAACCCATATCTTCATAAATCAAGGTTGATGGTTGAAACAGGTTGCAACGAAGGCCCTGACGAGCCCCACAGTTCTGGTCCTTCGCTACGAAGACATCAAAGCAGACGCCATCAAATCCGTGCGGCAAATCCTTGCGTTTCTCAACATTCGTCCAGACGAAGACCGACTCGCCTGCCTCGCAAGACACGTCCAAGGCAAAGTCAACAGGGGACAACCAGAGGTGAGTTACGTGTAATAACGTGTAGTTCGATTCCCTATATATTTTCTTGGATTTTCGTATTATCATTTATCAAGTGTATGGACAAACTTCACCCGCAGGTGACCGTCCAAAGTTAATCGTTAAACACAATTGTTTTTTCGACTGACTGACCGATTACGAGGGACTGACGGACCCACTCTGACTTCGAGGGACTGACTGTGACTGACCCATTACGGGGGTGTGGGACTGACAGACCCACTCTGACTACGGGGGACTGACTGACCCACTCTGACTACGAGGGACTGACTGACCCACTCTGACTACGAGGGACTGACTGACCCACTCTGACTACGAGGGACTGACTGACCCACTCTGACTACGGGGGACTGACTGACCCACTCTGACTACGGGGGACTGACTGACCCACTCTGACTACGAGGGACTAACTGACCCACTCAGACGACGAGGGAATGACTGACCCACTCAGACTACGACGGGAATGACATGTCTCGAGAGTCGAGAGGATGTGGATTTTCAGGTAGCAATAATTTGTGATAAGCTAATCTGAATCAATTAATTCAAACAAAAAATAATTATACAATAAGTTGGTGACGTTTATTATTACTTCTAACAGATGAACCCCTACACTGTTGAACTGGAGCTGATGTTCTCTGCTGCCATCGCCAGAGTCTCTGCACTCATGAAATCCAAAGGCTGGCCTCCTCTGTCTTACTCATAGTGAAGTCATAGCTTGAAGCCATGTCATAGAAAACGATCCAGAGAAGAAAACCTTTCATTGGTAGCCTTCTCATGTTGCCCAGATAAACAAGGTAAAAGTTATATTTCTATATTTCCTAGGCTAGGCAATGTTTTAATAACTTCTTGATCACTTTACATTCACACGTTCCCCATATATAGGCTGAGTGATCATTCCGTATTCTCCCGTATTAATCTTGATCGATTTTAAGCTATAAATTCATTGGTTTCTTCTACGTATGTTGAGGGGAAGGCTTTGTATCACACTTCCAACAACTGATGGGAGTGGGTTAGAGCATATATTCAAAAACTGATAATTACAAATATAAATAATGAAGATACAAGTTACATTATGCGCAAATATTGCAAGAGGACTCAGCTTTCTTGTTAACAAAGAGAATATAAGCGAATGAGTAGAATTTAAATCGGTACAGCTGACAGTATTTTACTCAATCCCTTGGCTCATGACCCATGTTTGAAATGCTCACGCCTGGAACAATTCAACATTTGATTACACCTTTCACTGCGCAAGTTAGCCAGACCTCCCTTCTGTTGCGCTGTGACTATGCTTCACAATCAATAAGCATCCTCAACCATTACGATGAATACTCAACCACAACTGAAGAAACAAAATTTGGGAGTGTAGTGATTTATATCTTTCACCCTCATTGCAAGCAACTTCATCTTCTCTGCCAAGCTTTTTTTACCATTTTCAAGGGTCAAAAGTTTCTGGAAGTCGCGGACACTACATTCATGCTGTTTTCAGCTACCCTGCGGCACTTGCGCGCCTCCACTAGTCAAAATCACCCCTTGCACGTTTAGCACTCGAAATCACCCTTCTCAAGTTCTCTTATCTGTCTCACCGAACAAATTTGTTTTAAACGGGCCCCATCTTAAGAATATTGCATAGATGGAAATGAACATGCAAGAGAGGCGGCCAAAGAGACTCCTCATTAACCTCGTGTTGTTCCATATCATTGTCAGATTGAAAAAAAAAGCAACTGTTCCCATCATAGTCCACTCTTTGTGACAACTCCACTGGAAGAAATCATAGTCTGCCCTAATATAAGGAAGTGTGAAATCAAGAATGACGGTGAAATGAAAAAAAAAATCGCAAATGAAGGTAAAATCGATTAAATTTTTATCAGCTTAAAAATCACCGTTTGGTAGTTAGGAATGTATATTCAAAATTTCGTTCAAATCTGTTCAATAGTTTGGAAGTAATTTTTTGATCGCTGCGAATTTCGGCCTGTTTTGCAATATACGCGTAACTCGCAAATGAAGGTCGAATTTAAAAAAATTTACAAGCCAATCATCACCATTAAGTTATGATGAATACGTGTTCCAATTTTCATAGATCTGCGTTCATTAGTTTGCGAGATATTACTTGACAATTGAATTTGGAGATTGGTCGTGAGACCGGCCACAAGTCCGGCTGTATATTCGCCCGCGACGTCCTTGGTTTCTAGTGCTGAAACAGTTAAAACAGCTGAAAAACATATTGGTTCACTAAATGGAGTTCTATTTGTGAAATACACATTTGTGTTTAACCTTTATCTTTTAAAATTGCAGCGTACTAAATTTCAAGAAAGAGGCGTATGTCTGTGGGGGGCGCTAGAAATTCAGTAGGGAGTCAAAGGAGGCGCCAGCCTGAAAAAGTTTGGGAACCACTGGTCTATACTCCTTTTCAACAAAAAATTCAATTGGGTAAACTCCACACCCACTCGGTAATCTTTGTCAAGTAGACTTCGCTCGACAGCAACTCTGTCCACGCATTGGCACCTATTCACTGGGAGTGGACAGTCGAACTCCTTTTTTGAGGGATGGTACCTACAGCGGTGCTATATGTATCTGAAATTCATACGCCACGCTGACACATTGATCCAAATGGAACACAATATCAATCAACACTACTTGGAAAGTTTAATACCGACATCCTCAATGATTCTGATCCCTATTTCGGAGAAGTTTTAAGAGGTGTATGCAAAATAATGAAAATCAGGAAACAATTTTAATTAAATTATCAAGTCAATCGAATATTTAAGAAAACTGCAGAAGAAATTTAAAATTTATTTAACCTCCAAGATTTTTTAACGGATAAAAAACTCTGATATCTGTTTTTAAAACTTCGAAGCGAGTCCCGTACGGCACAACTTAGCCAGGAATGATCGCATAATTTACACGCAAAGGCACTAAATTTTTTTGCAAAAAGTTGGTCGCAACTAACATTCCGCAGATTCCAGTTCAAAATTTTGGCACAAAAAATATTAAAAGTCAATCGCACTCCACGGTACTGCAATTCGGTTAAAGATCAGTGCGAATGTTTTCAGTAATCTTTTCTGCCTCTCTTGAAGCCGAAGCAACAACTCTATCCACTCGTCCCATGGCCGAGTCTATCTTCTTCTCGTGCTTCTTGAAGAAGGGCAAGATGACTTTATTGTAGATCACCGTAGAACCGTTGAAATCTGACGACGAGAAGCACCAGACCAGGAACAGAACCTGGACAAAGAAAATACCACCGGTGCTCATGAACAAAATCTATCTTGGAAGAGAAAAAATATCAGGAACTGCAACTCTGAGTGCTCTGAAACTCGGGCACGCAACCCAATTGCTGTCCACTTTAGCTAGTTGAGTTTACATTCAATTGTCATTCGCTACGACGATATCTATAAAGCAACTGCAGTGGCTACTTGTGACTAGATTCAATTGCCAATCAATTAGGTTAATTATGTCAGATTACAAAGCAGACCCAAATAGTGAACCTACTTTTGCTAGCCAGTAGAAAGGTAGCCAGGAAAGGATGAAGCCGGAGAAGGTGTCGATGAGAGAGAAGGTAGCGAACACCACCCAGTACGTCAGCCATTTCGTGTCATCAGCTTTGGTACTTGATTCGAGAGCCTGAAAGTAAAATTGCTTTGAAGCATATTCTTTCAAACACTCTTGTCTTTTTTCCTTGAGAATGTGCAATTATGAAGAGTCACATCTCTACATAGGATATTCAAGTTTTCAGTCCAAGAAGTGAAATCTTTTGCAGCATGCAAACTGAGATCTTCAAGAAGAAACAAAGTTCTAAGCCATTTATCCTGCCGTTAAGCAAAATCCGGCCTCTGTATATAGATGCAAGTGGCTGAAATAACACTTGAAAATTTGTAATAAATTAGCAAGAAGAACCTAAGATCGTAGCGAAGTAATGGTTTCAAAATAATTGTCATCAACTCTCAATTCGCCCATATGGATCGAAGCGAAGTGTTGGAACCAGAAAATGCCTGTTGGCCGGTGTTTTCACAATACACTTTCGACCACTACACATTTCACTATTTGTGGAAAAAATCTACGTTTTTGTCATCTACGGGATTCCACAATAGTTTGGTCACAACTAAAGGCGACAACCGTTACTTGCACCAAGACAAAATTCGTTAACCTTACCAAGTTACCATCAACACGCAAAAAATGGCATAACTGGAGATTATGACATGCTAACTTTCAGCACGTGGCCACGTGCCATTATAATTTTTTTTTCTCTCGGAAGGGGCTTTAATTTCTCATGTGCAGAGCTTGCCGTACTTCAAGCTTCATTTGGGTTCCTCAAATTTTGATGTAGATAGTGATGCACATGGTTTGAAATCCTTTTTAAAAATATTCCTAACACGGTGTACAGAATGCTACGCTGACATGACCTCACGTGCCTATTCAAGCTAGCGTATTGGATTCTGAAACGCCATTACTCTTAGTTTCTATTTGTGAAAATTCATAAGAGTTCTATGAAAATGTGGATTATCTACGGTGAAGGGGTTATCAATTCCGAGCATGGCGAGGCTGACATTTAAGTTAGAAGTGATTTCAATTCCTCTTACCTTAACGCTGCAGTATGCAGGATACAGGAAGCCTACTAAATTACTGATGAGCTGAGCCAGGTGACCGAAGATGAGGTATACAGCCAGGAATAAGAGCCCACCTGTTAACAGTATTCAATTAGAACCAACTACTTCCCTAGGAGCGGCATATACAGAAAGCATGAGCTGCTAGGCAGTTTCCCCACATGGCGCATGCCGGAGGCGAGCTTAGCCCAACTTCACACTTCAGTCATATTCCTTTCCGTGGGGAAGGATGCTAGAGGGAGTAGCAGTGAATGAAAGAATGAAGTCTAGTTCATCAGCCAAAGCGTCATATATGTCCACAGCCAGCTCGTTAGCATGCCCAAGTTAAACATGGTCATACTGCATCTAGCAACCTCTTCCGGCCTAGGCTACGCACGTTGCTTAATTTCTCCGCCCGATACAAACCAGAGTTAACTTAACCTAACCTCATTGGCTGCAGGAAGTTAGAAAGGCGGGACAAGTGAGCGCTGAGAGCCTGTCATTGGCTGCAAGAAGGTTGGGGAGTCGGAGCAGCGTGACTAGGTCAGGCCAGATGAGGTTAGGCCAGTGTAGGCGAGGCCGGATGCAGAGCAGACTGCTTATGAACAAGCATGCTGAAGTATTGACTGAAGACCTACGGCGCTTCTATCTTTGAAAAAAGTTTGACTGGTCTAGCTAACTGTGTTCCAGCGTAGTCTGTGCCTGAGTGAAGTTATTGGATGGTGATTGGAGAGGGCTTAATTGTTGGTGTCAGGGCTTAATTGTGTTGTGTGATTGTGTTCCACGACTGCCCACCCCTTCCACACTTTGAAGATAGGAATTAAAAGCACAGTTTAGGCAAAAACAGGTTTGTGCAGAATTTACCTCAATCGCCAACTGAAATTTGTAAACTAACTAAAAAAGTTTCTAGTGACCATCCACTAACAATTTCTAGTCCGGAACTCGGAACCCTCTGGAAGATTTCGTTATTTCAACGGTACAGAGATTGTGAAAATTCCATCGCATTATAGCATCAAGAGAAAACTGAACTTCATCGATCGAAGTACCAAATACTTCATAAATATGCATTACGTCTACTCCGAGCACTCTCACATTTAACTCTACATATTTAAGGTCACGTCTTACCGTATTTCAAGTAGGGTCGATTCTTCTCGTCCGTCAACATTTTGACATTTTGTTCACCGAGATACTGATTAGCATACTGCCACAAAACGTTTTCCATGATTGTAGGTTGTTTTTTCGATTCCATGATGTGGTTCTGTGCGCCTTAGGTATTTAAGTCACAATCAAATCTGGCGGTGAAATCAAAATGTCTACAATGGGTCAATTCCTGCTCCAATGAAAGACTTGTCAGTTACTGGGCGTTGAACGTTAGTAACGCGTCTCCTAAATGATCTTTCTGTAATCTCTTGTTCAACTCAAAACTCGCTCTAACAGCTGTAGCTACAAACCTAATGGCAGAATTAATTTGCGTTTCGTCATAGCTTCTAGTAAAAGTTTTAACGATCGAAATCTAACCAACTGCCGCTCGGATGTGACTTGGCTAATCGCGAAGGTTTATTCATTTATAAAACTCCCCCTTCAATTTCCTAGGATGCCTAAACCACTAGTACAACAATAATACTTTCATACAATAGAATATTGAGCAAGGATAACATCACGCCTTCACAGGCTCCTAAGTTAGCTTGGAACACACGTCTATACAGCGAGTATACTAGAGCAGTCCAGGACTACGTGCTACCTCAGGCACGTCTGTGTGAGAACTCTGGCAAAGCATTCATATCTGACGAAAGCAGGCCCATGGAGAGGCCAGATAATCTTGAGTTGGGTGGAGATAAGCGTTATCTTTCATTTCAGGCTATAACTTTTACAGCCATTTTCATTTGTGATGAATAAACCTGGCGGTGTCCGAGCTGAACTGCTTTACCTGATCCTCAAGAATCTTAGTGAGGAACTGAAGTTGCGTAATCAAGTAAAGAATTTACAAGTATACGTTTCATCTTATACATTTAATCAAGATTCTAGGTAAGCGCTGCTTGAGTTAAAGGGAAGCTCTTTTCATGGTCACTTCACGGTAAATGATATTTGTTCCGGTAATCGCTAAACTTAACGGTAGACGTAAAGGGTATGATGATCTTGAATGGAAATTCGATGCTGATGTTTAAGATAGGTCATTTAAAGCTCAAATGGCAGTTGCAATCAGGCGTTCGAATCTTAGATCGGTAGCTACAGTTAATATTATAATAAAGTTTGCAACGACTGTCACGTAAAGCGATCATTTTCGCCTTTGAGAACCTTCTGAAGGAACACATTTGTTCCTCAATTAAAAAAAATTCTTATGATTTGGTGATGTACACGCGAAGGTATTATGCCTGTATTTTCGTTTTTCAGCACATGAAGACGATTCATGGTGGAGACGTTCGGTACCGCCAACGATACAAGAGGCGCCACTCGGTACTTGACTTGACGCACGTCAATACAAACCGTTTATTACTGGTCTGAACTACAATTTGTAAGATCCTATCACCAAATAAAAACTACCCAGATGTTTCAATCTCGCCAGAGTTTAGGTTTGGTGTCGTTTGTGAAATCGATCTTTCTGTTGGATCTTTCTGAGGCCGGCGACATGAGTGCTGTGGCGACTTGAGTGACATTGTTTTAGTAATTGTGCTCCAAAAGTAACGATTATTTATTTTTTCTTTAGTCCATTCTAGGCACTAGAATGGACTAGTCCATTCATCTCTGTCTAGGCACTTCGATCTCCATGTTCAACAACTTGCATATGCGATTACTTCTTGCAACACCAAATCTATTCATTGCCAGAACATTTTAGTGGCAATGTTAGGTTTATGATGACGTCATCTACTTACCAATATTTCCTAAGTCATAATGCTATTATCGCTTTATTCGGTTTCAGAAGATGCTTCCACTCACTGATTTTTAGTGCCTGTCGATTTTCATTGTTGAACAGCCAAGCCACCCGCTCATCTTTGGCGAAGTCATTGACAAGCCAAATGACATGATCGATGTGCAAATAAGTGCCATCAGTTTCTGGTTCTTTGGGACCTGTTTTTGTTTTCTTCTCAGAAGCTGAAGCCATTTTTTACCAGTGACTTTCAATATGTTTTTCGCGATCTTCTGGGAAGAGAAAATAAATTCAATACAGACGACAAAATCTATTTTGTTGACAAACTTGTACATACATAAATTTTATACATTAGCGTAACAATTTTCTGAGAATGCAATTTTCCCGGAAAAAATGTTAGCAGGTACGAATTTTTGTATTCATATTTTGAAACGAACTATATATATACGATTTTTTTTAATCATTTAAATTCAATAAAATAAAATAAACATTTTTTATTAAAAAATTAAATTTTCAACTTTATATGTTATCATATATCACGTACTATCAACACCCTTCTATATAGGATTCTCTCGGGAGCTATTCAAAACACATCTGAAACAAACAAAATTGTGCAATAATAAACCACTAAAATATCAATTGCAATTGCAAACTAGTTCAGCATGTTAAGATTATTTAAAATGAGTCACAAGTTAAACATAGAAGTGACGGTACACGATGAGTTAAGATGTAAAGATGTGGTGCTATGTCGACTATCGTTTGGTCAGAGATACCGCGATCTGTTTATCTTATCAAAGAGAACTGACATGGACGCAATGCTGGTAGCAGGACTGTTCGATTCGGAAAAACAAACTTATCGATGACCTCACTACGAACTTCACTCAACATAGAAGAAATTTCGCCTGGAGACACGCTTGTTTGCTCACATAAATTTTTATTGTAATTTTAATGCGTTAAATAATCAATTATTGCTCATGTTCGCGTAACAATCTTACTAAATTTTTAGATATATAATGCTTAAAAACCGAATAATTCGTTAAAATTGAGGTACAAATCAATTTACTTGTTAATGAATTGATACCTGCAATTTGGGAAGCATAAATATTCAGATCTCACGATTAAGTTACGTAAACGACGAGAAATATCTTTTTAAATAAATTATGGACTTGCACCACCGAGTAAATAAATAAATATAGGAGTTCAACAATGCAATCACATACCTCAAAACAATCCTATAAACCTGGGTCGATGCTGTGTAACACCGCTTTGATGTAACAGCTTTCCTCCAGTGTGAACTGTTCGTTACTAATTGAAGTTTAGTTTGGAAGCGATGCATTATTCCGGTGATAGACACACGTTTCTCAAAACAATCAAATGCTGAAGATAACAGCATCGATAAGCCGCTAGGTAAAATATGACCTTTCGTCCTAGAGGACTCTGCAAGAGCCAGCATGTGTATTAAAAAATTAACTAATAACACGTCACAAGTTCCATGGTACCGTGTAACATGTTTCGATGAACCTTCAGTAAATTATCGCTGTGTCCACCCGTGATCAGGAATTGTAGGCTAGATTTCAATACGTGTCAGCGGATTCTCGGGAGAAATTTTGTGCTGCATAGATATTTTAAGATAATTTTCTGAATATTCGACAACATTTTACGTTGACAATTTGAATGAACATTTTCCGTGATCATTCATGTGTCTTCTTTTTCGCGTATCAACCAAGCTCAATAGGAACTATAATAAACAGTCACTTTGGTTTATTTTCACTCTTTAGCATACATAATTCACAAACTAAATCCTAAAACTATTCACAAGCAATCTTTCACAAGCAATCTCTCAAAAGAAATTATAACCAATCTAAAATTTTACACGTCTAAACCTCTGTAATGGCTGGCTGCTCTTTGGGAGGTGTTGTTGATGACGAGATAGAGTCACTGCACACCTGTAAAGGCTTGTAGCCATACAAGAATAATGAGGCAATCACACAGCTTGCACCTGCTAATAATTCTTTGTTGAGTGAGGAGCCCAAGAACATTATGGACACGAGCATGGAAAGGACGATGGCGAGAGAGGTGGCAAAGTTCTTGAGGATGTTATCGGCGTACTTGACGACCATGGCAACAAGAAGTCCTCCCGTGGCGTTGAGAACCACCAAGTACCACACGTAGGCGTCGTAGCCAAAGAAGAAGCCCTTGTTTTTGATCTCTGTCCAGTCGGTGGCGAGGCACGTGAGTAGACCAAGCGGCATGGAAGCCAGTGAAAGCTGGACGTTCCTCATCCAAATGGAAACGTCGGAGCCCTTCAAGATCTTCTCGAAGTAAATGCCAGCAAAGCCTGAGCAGAAGCAGGCGCCTATCGCAGCCCCCACGCCCAGCAGCTTGTTCTGCTCCACAGACCCGACAACGGCTACGGTGGCTGTAGGACAGAATTATGAAGGTTATTGATGTTTAGAATTAATTGGTTTTGTTAATTCATGCCTTCTTGGTTGTAAACAAATGACTTTGATTGCCTCTAATATTCAATGGTTCGAAATTATATCATCAATTGTGGCTATCAATGAAGATATATATATAATTAGATAATGATTGTTACAGACTTGCAGCGAGCTGAACGAGAGCAACGCCGATGCAGAGCAGCACGAGCGCCACCCACTGCAGCTTGTGCAGGCTGCGCCCCAGCATCAGCACCGCGAACATCGCCGTCGTCAGAATCTTCAACTGGTACGTCACCTGCAATTGATTATCACACATTAGTTATTAGTACAATCACTGGCACAATCATTTGGTAAGTCACCTGCAATTGATTAGCACACATTAGTACAATCATTTGGTAAGTCACCTGCAATTGATTAGCACACATTAGTAATCATTTGGTAAGTCACCTGCAATTGATTAGCACACATTAGTAATCATTTGGTAAGTCACCTGCGATTGATTTTTATTAATTATCATCGCGTCATCAATATGATATGTAGCATNTTACATAACATTTTACATAACTTTAATGTTATGTAAGAGTAAATGTTTTTCTTTTTTGTCCGTTAAGAAAACATGGTTTTTAAACATTTACAGTACTCTTACATAACATTACATAACATTTTACATAACTTTAATGTTATGTAAGAGTAAATGTTTTTCTTTTTTGTCCGAAAGAAAACATGGTTTTTAAAAGTTTTTTATTTGTTTTATTACTACTCTTCTCTTTAACTTGCTAACTTGTTGTCTGTCTGCTACAAATCTTTTAATTGATATTTAATTTATTACAGCGACTACTCTATAGTTCATGACGTTCAGATAAGTGGCACTTCATCCATGTGTCAACGTAACGAACGAAAAAGGTAAATATGAACAAAATATGCGTTTAAAAAGTACTTTTTAAAGTCCACACTTCTAAAGAGACCGGTTTCATTGTTTGTTGTTCATTAATTGATGTAACATGTACAATGAATTTCTTGTATAATTTTGATATATTAAAATTTTTTTACATTTTTAATTTATTATTTTTTAAATATTAATAAATTTTTTAGTTTTATTTTATTTCATTTTTTTTTATTCTGTCAATCGATTCATTCATTGCCTCAGACTTTACGCATGTGTGCAAAGTTTCCAATCGATCCTGAAATGACCAATCGATCTGAAATTTTGCACACCTGCGTGAAGCCGGGGACAATACATGAATCGATTGACAGAAATTTTTTTATTATTTTAAAAAATAAACAAATAAAAAATTAATAATTCAAAATTAAAGAAGAAATTCATCGTACATGGGTAACATCGGAGACACCGGATCCTTTAGAAGTGTGGTCTTTAAGAAGCACTTTTTAAACTCATATTTTCTTCATCTTTACCTTCTTCGTTTATTACGCTGACACAAGGATAAAGTGCCCTCTTGTCTTACCGTCATCTGAACCTTAGAGTAAGTAAGTTTATTATCGTCTTCCTCCGTGGATGGTATGTTGCATGGTAACGGTTTACAGTTAACCTGAAGATGGTCATTACTCGTGTTACTTGCCACTCTGTATATTGTGGTCATTTGTTGTCATAAGTCACGTACTTGCGTGTTAACCGTAGGGTAACCATAAAACTCTCATGCGCATATTTTATTTTGCAGCCTAATGGATTTGTTTGTATAATTTACGTTTCATATAATTTTTTTATTTTAGAAAAGTTGCGCTCGGCTTCTGTACAGATAATGTGAATATTTATTTATTCACGACCTGGGGAAACCACTTACAATTTAAATTTCGTTTCGTGCGATGAGACCAGCCGTATTATCACGCAGGCCCTGATTTACTTATAAATAAGGCCAATTAAGGCAAATCTTGCAAACACCAAGTTCGAATTTACTTGAAAGTGTACTCACAAATTAAACTTTTATCTGATTTGCGTGGTTGCTATATCTTAAAATTTTTAAAGTAAAGCTTCATACTTAACTTCCAATAATTTGGTTACATTTATTATAGGTAATAATTTGTTCGTACATGAGTTTATTTTAACAATGTTATCACATCCTAAATGTACCTTCTTATACCGTTGCTTCAACCTGCGAATCGAATAAAAAGATTAGCATTCTGAATTCAAGACTGAATATTAGCATAAGAACTTTATTTTCCTCTCACTTATTCTCAATATAAGCCTATTCCTGAGATCTTTCTCGGGGTAATTTTTTTATAAGTAAAGGCCTGGGTCCATATTTTCAAAACTCGCTAAGTGAACGTAAGTACTAACGCTATATTTCCTTATCTGTGATTGGTGGACTTTGCTTGAAAGGCCGTCAATGATTGGCTGATGAACTTACGATCTCTTAACTTTTCTTATAAGAAAAGGCCTGGACCTATACTTTCAAAACTCGCTAAGTGAACGTAAGTACTAACGCTCTATTTTCTTATCTATGATTGGTGGATTATGCTTGAAAGGCCGTCAATGATTGGCTGATGAACTTACGATCTCTCAACTTTTCTTATAAGTAAAGGCCTGGTAACCTGGTAGGTCGCTGCATCGAGGTTGGTAGCGGCAACGTAGAGGAGGTTGTTCTGGACGAGGTACGCTAGAGCTGGCACCGAAACTTTTAGCGTGTCACATTTGTTCTTCCACAAACAATCGAACATTGATTTTAAGCTTTGCTGAAATAGTAAAAGTAAAAATATCAACGAAAATGGAATTGTAAATGGTTTCATAATTAAACGTTGATGAAGTTTTTGTGTTTCGCTAATAAGATTATGATTTTTAGAAAGCTTTTTTTTTACAGTGTCAAATTCTAGAGAGCTATACAAAGTATACATTAAAGTAATGCATAGCATACTGACCAGCATGCAGAGTTTGGAAGCAGTGTCGCCAAAATACTGACTTTGAGCCAGAGCCCAAAATGTTGCCAGGCCCGAAAGCGCATTTACAGTTGAACATCAGTTAGCATGATAGCATCCACCATCCAGTTAAGAAAAAAATTGATTTAAAACAAAGAATATTGATTACATTTACCTCGCTGAACAAAAAAAAGTTCACTTATTGAAAAATTAGTGCATCATTGGTCATCACAAAATTGTGCATAGAATGTCATATTTAGAATTGTGCACCAGGCATCATTATTAGAATGAAAAGTAATTGACCTAAACTATGATTTATTTCTCCAAAACATATGATGGTTGTCACTAAAACATTCCTTTCTGTTTCAGGTATGTTTTTCACAATCTTTTTAGCGCATTTTCTCATTTATGGAAAAAATGCACTATTGTGCTCGCCATGTCCGTCTGTCTCTGTCCGTCCTTGACCTCAAGTTTTCATAGACAAGAAAATGTGCTCTGTCACTCACTGCAGAGAGTACTGAGTTATATTTTTTATAGTAAATTCACTTAACCCAATTAAAATGATGTGAAATTACAAGCCGTCCTGTAAGCTTACAGATACAGAAAAAATGCTATAAGGCTGCTGACATAGTGGCTAACCAGAGCTTTTTTAGAATCAGTTCATTTTTAGTTTCCTCATTTACCCAAGATTTAAATCATTGGTTCCCAAAGTGGGCAATATCGCCCCCCTAGGGGCGGTAAGGAAGAAGAGGGCGGTAGGGGGGCGATAAGGGGGGCGATAGTCCGAAGTCAATGTCAGAAGTTTGAACGTTTGTTTGACGATTTGTACACAACACGTGCAGGTGCAGCACATGACTCCCAGCGATGGTTTTTTCACCCAGATCTGTTTTTTAACCTCTCCTGGGTTTACGTCTTGGACAAATTAACGGCCGTACTCTCGGCCGGTCTCACAGCCAATTTTCAAATTCAATGATCAAGGAATATCTCTCAAACTAATGAACTTAACTCGATGAAACTTGATACACGTATTCATTAGGACCTAATGATAATGTTTTGCTCGTGAAAATTGTTTGAATTTTGCCAGTGTTTGTTTTTGCCATTGCTATATGGCAGGGTGGCCCAGTGGTTACAGTTCAGAGTACCAAGATTGGCGCAGAGAGGCGCGGGTTCGATCCCAGCTCTGTGCGCCAGTTTCTGGTCAGAATCGGCGAGGAGGCCGGGCGGTTAAGCATGGTAGAATTTTAATCAGTGAGTTGTGAGTTCGAGACCTCAGCAAGCTGTGGCTGTTCTGCGATGATAAGAATCGGCGACAGGCCTACGGCCTAATAAACGCTGAAACCGCTATTATTATTGTTATTAATACAGGCCGAATTTCACAGTGATCAAGTAATTTCTTCCAAACTACTGAACAGATTCGAACGAAATTTTGAATTTACAGTCCTAACTACCGAACGGCAATGTTTAGCTAGCTTGTGAAAATTTTTTCGATCGTGCCTTCATTCGTGAGTTTTTTTTTTTATTTCACTTTCATTCGAGATTTAAACAGCAATACGTGCTTAAATTCGCAGTCATCAAGAAATTTTTTCTAAACTTCTGAACAGTTTTGAACAAAACTTAGTATTTAAATACCTAACCTCAGCAACGGTGATGTTTACAATTTTTTCGTTTTGCCTTCGTTTGCGAGTTAGACGGCTATACGTATAAGACTCTTGGTTAAACCGGCCGGTAGAAAAGCCGATCGTTCCTCCTATATCTGTATAACTCGCGAACGAAAGCAAAATAAAAAAAATTGTCACGAGCTGAACATCACCGTTGAGAGGTCAGGTATTTATATACAAACTTTCCTTGAAATCTGTTCTGTAGTTTAGAAGAAATTTCTTGATCGCTGCGAATTTAAGTGACAAATTACCAGGCAATACGGGCCGAATATAAGGAAGTGTGAAATCAAGAATGACTGTGAAATGAAAAAAAAATCGCAAATGAAGGTAAAATCGAAAAAAAAATTTATAAGCTAAAAAATCACCGTTTGGTAGTTATAGGAATGTATATTCAAAATGTCGTTCAAAACTATTCAATAGTTTGGAAGAAATTCTTTGACAGTGCGAATTTCGGCCTGTTTCGCAATGTACGCCTAACTCACGAGTGAAGGTAAAAAAAAATTACAAGCTAAACACCACCGTTAGGTTCCAATGAATACGTGTTCCAAGTTTCATAGAGCTGCTTTCATTAGTTTAGGAGATATTACTTGATAATTGAATTTTGAGATTGGTCGTGAGACCGGCCATGAGTCCGGCCCTAAATTTGCCCGAGACGTCCTAGGTTTCTAGTGCTGCAACAGTTAAAACAGCTGAAAAACATATTGGTTTACTAAATGGGGTTCTATTTGTGAAATACACATTTGTGTTTAACCTTTATCTTTTAACATTGCAGCGAACGAAATTTCAAGAAAGAGGCATATGTCTGTGGGGGGCACTAGAAATTTGCTAGGGAGCCAAAGGGGGCGCCAGCCTGAAAAAGTTTGGGAACCACTGATTTAAATCAATTTCTTATATATGATACTGCTGGTATCCAGGATACTTTACTGGTCTACTTATAGGACTCACAAATGAACTTGAGGGAGAGTCTAAAAAACACTCTGCTTTGCCACTATGGCTGCTGATATGAAGCTTGCAGTGAACAAGGTTGTTGTAAATGCTCAATGGCATGTTCATGGATACGGTAATATCCCATCAATAATACAGTAATATCGCATCAATAATATGGTATAATCAACTGAGATGACTTCTTCTGCCGGGTGACTTCGGCCGCGTTTTTTATTTTGTTTTGCAAACAAAAGCGGGGTCATAAACGATGGCCAAAATCACTCAGGCGCTTATGACCTTATTTACAACTCTGGCATGTATGACCTCGGCGTTTACGACCCCGTTTTTGTTTGCAAAACAAAATAAAAAACGCAGCCGAAGTCACCCCAGTTGACGGTAATTAATGTTTGTTAATATCATATCAATATGGGAAAAACAAGTAAAAATCACAGAAAATGTCATTTGTTCTACCTCTATATCATCTAAAATGAAAGAGGA